CTCTCACTTTCTCTCTCTCTCCTTCTCCCTCCCTCTCTCTCCCTCTCACTCTCTCTCTCCCTCTCACTCTCTCTCTCTCCTCCTCCCTCCCTCTCTCCTCCCTCCCTCTCTCTCCCTCTCACACTCTCTCTCTCTCCCTCCCTCTCTCTCTCTCCTTCTCCCTCCCTCTCTCTCTTGACCATCAGGCCTCAGAGAAGTTGCTGACATCCAGGCCTCTGGAAGGCTTAGTCCCAAAGCTCCAGTTATAACCTGGGAGGAGAAGGTTGCTGTGGCCAACAGTCTTGGGGACCTGGTAGGCCAACAGTTGATGATGGGTGGGGCCAGCCTGAAAACCCATCTGTGATAGCCAGTGCCTGTCTGTCAGCAGCCCCTCCGGGGAGGGAGCAGATGACTAGCATGTGGTGCTGGCTTTTAGTCCTGCCTCTGTCCTGTCTGGATGAGTGGCCACAGGTGGATGAATGAGAAATCAGTGTGAAAGGTCACAGGAATCCCCAGCTGACACCGACTTGGGCCTGAGGCTCACTCATAATACAGCGTGAGTGACTTAAAAGCCAATCTTTTTTCTTAGAACCAATGTGTCAAAAAGAAATTAAGAGGCACAGGGAAGTGACATGGTAGGGCAGGATTGTGACAGTATGCTTGATGTTGAGTAACCTTGAGCAAGTGGCTCCCCATGAGTTTGGAGAGTGCCTCCGTCAAGGGGCTCTAGGTGCCACCCAGGGGCAGCTGCTTCATGCTCCCTGTCTCCTACCATGTGGGAATGTGGGATGAAGTTGCTAGATCTTCCAAATTTTTCAGTAGAAGCCAAAAATATGGATTTTAAAATGTAAACTCTTCCAATTTTTAAATGTTGGCTCAAACATTAAAAAAAAAAAAAGAAGAACGAAAGAAAGAAACCTCAAACAGGCCAAATACAACATGCTAGCAGGCCAGATTTAGCCTGGTAGGCCAGTTTGCAGGCACAGGCCTTGGTGAGGAATGTAACAGGGTTGCAAGGGGATTCCTGTGAGCCTATAGAGCCCAGAAAAGTCCAAGGAGGCAGGACCTACTGTACCTAAAGACGGATGGTTTGCCCCTTTCTTGGGCCAGTGCCAAGCTGTGCTAACTTGCTAAGGAGCCTTAGATGGGTGTTTTCCTTGCCCCCATCAGCTGCGGTTACCATGGGGACCCTATAGCACAGGCAGTGCCTAGGAATGCTAGACCATGTCCTCCACTCTCCCATGACCCAGCCATGGCACAAAGATGTCTCCCTCCCTCCCCTGAAGCCCCTGCCTCTCCTATCTGCGTACAATTCAGCCCACAGGTACTGTCCTGGCTCCTGTGACCTCTGTTAGCTACATTGGTCATTTTAAGGGCATAAGTGCCACTTGTGGTCTGCCACTCCCAGATCTGCCTTTCTTGACCCTGTTCCCTGCTCCAGATTCCCAGGTCTCCATTGGTGCCTCCCTCCACTGACAGTGCAGGCAGCTTCAGACTCTCTAGAACTCTAGAGACTGGTCCTCCCCTTCTCACTCCCTCATCTGTACCATCTCTAACCAGCCTTTCCACCTTTACCTGGTACACACCTAGCCTGATGCAGGAGCTTCAGCTTGACTCCTGGGGTGCTGAGTGTGCCCCGCTGGGGTACATAATACCCTTCCCCAACAGCGGGTCTCAGCCCCCAACTTGTGTTTCTTGAATGAATGCAAGAATACCAGGAGCAAGGTTAGATCCCCTGGGAGGAGTCCTCCCCTAACAGCCATCTAAAGGCTGGCTTTCGGGAGCAAGCACCCTTTGCAGCCTTGTCCTCCGGACAGCCCCTTATACGGGGCCACCTGTTGCTCACAGCATTCCCCCAGAGGATTTCCCACCCCTCCTTCCTAGAGGAAGCACTGAGGCTCCCACAGGGAGAGGTCGCACAGCTAATTAGGGGTCAGTTCCCCCACCCTGGCATTGCCATCAGTGAGAGGCAGGCCCTGCCCCTCCCCCACATGCTTAGGTAGTTTCTTCAGCTTCTGTTAGGATGGAAGTGAAAGAGAAATAGCCAAGGAAAGAAAGGTGAGGATAGACTCTTGGGTCTCAGGGCAAGTCCAGAGCCCAGACTCGATGCAGGCAGGCCCTCCCCAACCTGACTTGCTCCTTTGAAGTAGTTTTAGTATGTGCCTAGGCTGGTCCCGTTCATATCTTCTATGGGCAGAGCTACTTGCCAGGTACCCAGGGACCCAGGCCTTCACCTGGCAGAGGCAGACTTCAGTGAGGGTCAGGGATGGTGAGTGGAGGATGAGCCATGGACAGCAGACAGCGGGACTAGATTAAAAGCACCTTCATTCACACAGGCTGTCCTTAAAACCCAGGCGTTGGAAAGCCACCTTGCCCTGCCCGCAGTGACACAGTAACTGATGCTGAAGCTCCCACACCACCCGGGTAGCCAGAGAAGAAGGCATTGGCTGGGCAGAGCTCTGGGCAAAGCATCCCAGAAGTGCAAGTCCTGAGACAGGAAGCTGGGTGGCCAGGGGGCCTGTGTGGGGAAGGCACAACCACTCACCTCCTGGAGGGAACACAGAGGACAAGCCACCAAGCCTCGGTGACACAGGGAGGGAACCAGGGCAATGGAAGCCTCTGGGCCTCTGTCATTTTGCACTTGTCTTATGAGAATTGTGCAGGAAATAAAGATGCAGCGGGCAGGGAGAAGGAGGCCCACCATGATCACAGGGAGCCTAGTGTGGGGCTCAGGACACTCCATAGAGAGGGCACACTTGGGGCATCACAGGCCCCGCAGGCGGTGACAAGTGCCTGAGAAAGAGAGGTCTGTGCATAAGCAGGCTCAATGCTAGAAAGCAGAGATCCGCTGGGCTACTAGTCCCAGCCTCTACCTTCATTTGAGACACATCCCCAGGTCTGAGGTTAGTGAAGCTAAGCACAAGACTTGGAATGCGCTCCGACAACAACCAGGGCCTCAGAGGACCAGCCTCAGTCCCCCCTTCCTGAAACTCCAGTGCCCGGTGGCCCCTCCTCCATCAGCTTGGGCTGCTCTGGATGACACTGGCAAAAAACGCAGGCTTCTATCTAGCTGGAACCAAACGCAGTAGCCACCTCGATTCTCCGTGCAGGGCTGCTTGTGGAGGTGGATTGAAAAGGCCATTGTGACCCATGGGTCCTGGGTCAGAGGAGGATTAAAGCCAGGGTCCAGAATCCGAAACAGCTAACAGCTACGAAAAGGCAGAGACTGCAGTCCCATTGTCTCCTGCCCTGCCCTGCCCCCACTCTAGCCACAAAGCTACCCACCACCTTCCTTGCCTCTTTCCCAGTCCCTTGGGAGGGCCTTCTAGAAGAGCTGAAATAGTCGATGTAAATAATTGATGCTAGCTTTTTTAAATTAAATTTTAATACATTCTTATTAATTCCAGACAAATGCCCTGGCAGGTCATTCACTGTGAGTGATTGAGGAGGCCGAAGACAGATGAGGGATGGCCCCTGCCTTTGGGTGGAAGAGGCCTCTTATGAATGGCGTCCAGACCCGAACAAGCCCTGTCAGCTTGAGGGCCCAGCTTCTTGTAGATGGAAGGCCCAATGATGGCTGGAAGGAGCTACAGCCCTTGGCCGGGGGAGGCAGGTGGCTTTCTTTAAGATGTGCCCCAGACTTGGGGTGGAGGTGTGCCCCCAGATTAGCCCCTGGAGAACCCGCTGCCCTCCTTCACGCTCCTCCCCAGTGGTAGAGTCCCGTCCCGTCAGCCACCGAAGGAGTGGGGAGCAATTGGTGGATGGATGGGTAGATGAACACTTGGATTGGGGGGGTTGGCTTCTTCTTGGCTGGCTCTGACCCGGCCAGTGGACGGCTCCTCCCACCCTGCGCTGGCTCGAGGAGGCCAAGACTGCTGGGTGCTGGGTGTCCTGGGGAGATCCGGGGCTCCTGCGTGGAAAGTCACAGCCAGCCAGGGGAAGGCTGGAGAAGCCGTACTTCTGTGCCATAGGACCCAGGCAATGCCCTGCCCGTGTTTATTGAGCGCCTGCTATATGCTGGGACCCAGTGCAGGAGATGAGCGCGGTGATGGGGACTCTGAAAGGTGGGCCTGGGGCAGAGGGCCGCTGGGGGGGGGGGGGGGGGGGGGGGGG